TGAAGCCCGGGCCCATAGGCCTCCTCTCCAACCCTCGCAGGCAGGCGGACACGGACGCGCAGGATCAGACGCAATTGCTGTTGTCGCCAAGCCAACCGGCCGGAGTCTGTCTGCAAGCAAGGCCTGTGGCCAGCCTCGCCTCCGGCGAGTCCCGTTCGCCGAGCAAGCCGATGTCGGCCTCGGCCGGTCCCGCCAAGCGGTGCAGTCCCGAGCAGTTGACCGCCCTCCTCGACGGTCTCGAACAGCGCCACGTCCACGCGCCAGGCCCAGCTCCGAGTCCGGAGTGCTCGGAGCCGGCGTCGAAGGCCACGCGCAGGTCGAAGCTGGCACCGGTCGCCAACGTCTACGACGACGCGCAACTCTACGAGGCCGAGCTGGCCGAGGCGGTGCCGAATAGCGCGCCATTTTCGCAGACCTGTCCCGGCCAATCGGCCCTCAGCTACTCCGGTTACCCGGGCCTCGGTCGCCTTAGTTACATCGCCTCCATCGACAGCGACACGGACTCGGCGAGTCGGATTCGAGAACCGATGCCGCTGGAGACGGTGCAGTCGCGGCCCAAAAGCCGACAGGCCAGTGACTCGTCCTACGAGAACGAGCCCAAACCGACATGACGCCAGAGCATCAATGGCGGCAAGAGAACATGCCGGACTCATTCATGCCCGCTACATGCACTACAGAAGCCCCCTGCTTTCGTTTGTCTAGAACGGCTCTCTGCAACCATTCCTCGATCCTCAACACGACATCGCAAATCCTCGAACGTGTTGTCCAAACTAACGGCGTGCCAAACAGAATAGTCTTCATTTCACCATATTTTATTCATCCGGAACAAATGCAAAAACCGACTAATAATTACCATTTTTCATAGACTCTAAGCGATACTCGGACTTCCAAGGCGACCCAGATTCTCTCAGCCATCCTTTGCTTTGCAAGAGTTGTGCATCGATGAGCATGTAATCAAAAGTTAAGCCGAAATGTGCACAGAGAAATATGTTAATAAATGCTTTTTCGTCTACTTCATCCTCGACAGATTAGGGCCTCATGTGTTAATCGTGACGGGTGTTTTGGTTCACTAAAATTATCGCTACTGAATGGCGCCGATGCCATGGTCTTGTCAGCCTTTTCTTCATCAGGCACTCAGGGAAACCGAGTGACAAATCAAACTTTATCGTTTTCGCAACTTGCTTGCGTTGCCATGGTGAACTGATTGGGCGCACCTTGTCCCAAGTCATTTGCCATGGTAGTTATCATAATTCTTAGCATCAGACCGTGGAATTGGTACATTCCAAGATAGTTAGCCGGTGTCGTAGTCGGTAGAGTCAGTGAATCTTGCTACTCTTAGCACCAAGCTACAACTAGTCAAAAGGAA